TTATATCTCCAAATGATTTATTAGCAAAAGGAAACTGATGCCTTATGTGTACACTACAGCAGTAAAGGCTGAACTTGGGTAAAGTTGTAAATAAAGACTTATTCATTTGCTATGAAAGGTAGTTTGAGAGCCACTGATTTAAGCAATAAAACATGAAACAAATATTTTCTTCATCAGAGAATGCAAATGTTTTTCCATTGTAGTTTAAATGGTCACCCAACATCAAATTACAAAGAAACTGAATTTCTTATTGTAATTTCTACATTGGAATATTACCAACTGGTTTTCCTAAGATAAATGGACACTGTGAATTATATTTTTTATGCTCCCCTCTTGGTGTATCCCCTGTCTCCCATTTGCCTATTATCTGATTGCAAAAAACACATCTACAATAATCCTGATTTCCGAGATAAAGAAAGCCATCAGCTGCTAAGGAAGAAGGGGATAACCAATCCAATGGCCACTTTTCAAATGATTTCAGGCGATATTCTTCATTCCTCATGTCAAGCGTATTATCAGGCTCGTTAATAACTTTAGGGATCAAGCCTATTTGACTGTTTCTTGAATTATTTGAAATTTCTCCTTTATGATCTGGTTCTGAAATAGAATTACTTACTTTTGGAGCATTGTCACAAGAGGCATAATCCATGAGCTTAGCATCACTGGGCAAAGGTATATTCCCAACTGGTTTGTTATTAATGAATTTACAATTGGGAGAGAAACGTGTGTGCTCCCCTCTTGGAGTATCACCCTCCTCCCATTTCATGACAATTTGATTGCAAAACACGCATGCACACTGGTCATCCTTTCCAAGATAGTAAAACCCATCTGCTGCTAACTCTTTAGGGGAGAGCCATGGTAGAGGCCAATTCTTAAATGTATGAAGGCGTTCTTGCTCTTTTCTGTAATATCCTTCAAGTTCATCTGATACAGCCATGTTTAATAGTTTTACAGATGTTAGCTGTCCTAGATATGGAAGCTTTCTGCTAGTCTGTCACTGCTCCTAAATCAATAATAAAACCTCCTGGCTCAATATACTGTAGATTCTATAATCAGTCTTCATTACTGAGATGACAATTCACCATGGCTGATTCTGGTTTCAATTTGTGTCCTGTAAGGATTCAATAATAAATATATATAAGAAAAAAAGGAAGAAAGAAACAGAAATTTATATATCCATATCAGCACCCATATGCATTCATAAAAATTACAATCATCATTTATCAATCACTTATGTAACAGATATTTTCTTCATCAGAGACTGCAAATGTTTTTCCATTGTAGTTTAATGGTAAAGTATTGTGGTGAAAAGGGTGGAAATTAGTTAACAATCAGGATAAAATGTGTTAGATGTCAAAGGTTGTAGAATTCTGTAGGATAGAATGGTATTGAAAAAGGTATAGGGGGAAGAGCAAATGAAATATGGTGAGGATTTGTAAAAGGGGATGGGGCTAAAGGTATAGGGTGATCAGATCAAATGAAGAGTATGTGTCTGAGGAAGGGAGAGTTATACTGTAGGAGGAAAACTCCAAAAGAGCTATTATGAAACAATCAGAGGGAAATACAGTAAAAAAATATAAATGCAGAAGTAGGAGAAGAATCCAGAGGATGAGATAAGGGAACAGGGGAAGGTGGTTAAGTATAGGGAAGAAAGTCAGTCAGGAGGGGAAGTATCTGGAGAAGGACATTGTTGTGAAATAAGGGAGTCATGTGAGCATCTAGGTGGGAGTGGTAAGGATAATGAAGGAAGAGAGAGGAAATGGTGATGCACATGAAGGAGGAGGGGATGAGGTGTTTTTTGGGTGAGTGGGAGGAAGGGGGGTAGGGGGACTTGAGGAGGAGGAGGATGGATACCAGCAAATACTTTGAATGTAGAATGAATAGGAATAGAGGGATTAGAGGGTGGATGAGGAAGTGGAGCATTCTCTTGGATCTCTTTAGGAACTTTGAGGTCTGAGAAACAAAGATTTTCTTTCTTAAGTGGAGAAGTGGGAATACAAGTCCAAGAAGCAGAGGGAGAAATGGGTGTGGGAAAGGATGCAGTAGAAGATGGAGGGGAACGTTTAGATTATCTGGTGCGACAGTTAGGGAGGAGGGAAGGGTAGGCACCAGGAAAGTGGTAGAGATTGCAGTATCTTAATTTAGACTAGAAAAGGAATTTGACTACAAGAGAGAGGGAGTAGAGATAGGACAGTTCGGGGTAGAGGAAAGAGTAGAGATAGGACAGTTCGGGGTAGAGGAAAGAGATACTGGGGGAGATGCTGAGACTTCATGAGAAGATGGGAGGCGAGCAGAGCGAAGTACAGTTTTGGAATAAGTAGAAAGAAAAAAACCTCTTCGGCATGCTTCTTGTCTAGCCTCACACAGAGTGAGACCGAGTTTGAATCAGAGAATTGCTACCTCAGATTTGAGCTTGTAGGCAAGGCAGCTCCTGTATTAATTTATCTAGTGAAAATTTTCAGCTGCATCCAAGGTTATCAGCAGCGTATACAAGACATAGCAATAGGTTGGGGCTTGGGGTCAAAGCCACAGGAAAAGGTTCTTTGGTTCAGTAAAGCAATGTTTGTAGATTTCCAGAATAGTCAGTGGTCAAAACAAACAAATGTACCAGGCATCAAAAGTTACACAACATTATGGTAAAGCATTATGGCAAAAAAGGTTAATATCAGTTAATGATTTGGAAAGTGGACAGAAGAAGGGGATGAAGAAGAGAAGGCAAAGGAAAGAGGGAAAAGAAAAAACCCTGCAAAGTTAGTTGAAGTCGGGGCCGAGGTCCAAGGCAGGGGTGATTGCTACATAGGTATTCAGTCTCTGCCTCGTAAGCCCCTCACAATAACAACTAGTCAGGGATTGGGGGGACAGCTGCTATGAAATACATTATGAGAGCACCACATTTGGCATATGTGCATGACTGAGCAGAGTAATTTGAACGGTCATGACCAGCTTGGGCACATTAAGGGCAGAGGGCTGGGGATTGACAGTGGCTGGGTGGCCAAAACACCAACATTTCTGACAATGACGGGGAAGAGGTCAATAATATAGACCAATATAAACTTCATGAAGGAGGTCATGTCTACAGAAGTTAATCTTGGCAATATTTGTGTGGGACTTACCTTGATCTCTGGGAAGAATAGTGTAGCACTGGACTGCCACTGCATCACAGTCGATGAAGCATGCGAGCAAGTCTTTTTCACCAACTGGTCAGTCCTTATCAAAGACAGGACAACCAATCTGAGAGATGGAGACAGTTCCAATAAAAGTATCAAGGGAGGAGTGAGGGTGGGCAGCAATAGGTTTGCCAATGAGGTCAGTCAGGGTGGATAGTGTATGAGCTTGGAACTCAGATGTAACTGTGACAAGGCTTGAATAGTTAGAATGACTGTGAGAGGAAACTTTGCCTACTTGTTTTTGGAGATATTGTTGGAAGAGAAGGGCATTGTCAGAGCATGGGGCTGTAGGGGGAATAACAAAAAAATTATCCCACTTGGGTGAGTACTCTTTTGCTTGATCAAAAAGGGTACTCAAAAGGTTTGCAGAGGTGGAAGCAGTAGTAGGATGAGGGTATGAGAAAGATGGGGTGGTATGGAGAGTGGTAGTACTGTTGGGAGGAGAACAATGAGGATGAAGAGTATTAATAAGGGAGGGTGGGTGTAGACAATGAAGAAGACTGTACAGTAGGAGATGGAGTGGAGGATAAGGGAGATAGGAAGGTGTGTATTCTGAAGGTTGAGTAATGACCAGGGTAGATGATTCAGAATGGGTAGATTTGGGAGTATTAGTATTAGTGGTCAGAGCTGTGGTCAAAAGAGGGTAGGAAACTAATGGAATCAAATTTAGATAGGTTAGTTGATGAAGTGGCAAGCCTTAATGCCCATAATAAACCTTCATAATTGGCCATGGTGAGCTTGAAATAAATTGGGAGAGGAAATGGTCTACTCCTCAGTGTTCCCATGACGGACAAGCGATAGGTGATTAACAAAGAGAATACTGTGCCCAGGTTACAGAGGCTGTTAATGACTGACACAAAGCCATCCTTTCATCCTTTTAGCATGGCTCTCACACATTAGGAAGTGGACAGAAGAGAAGGAAAAGGAAGGACCATGCAAAATTAGTCGAGACATGGGTTGAGGTCCAAGGGTAATTCCCTACATTGGGCCCGTCTCCATCTCCTATGCCCCCCACGACAAGAAGAAGCAAGGAATTAGGAGGGTCACATTTTAGGAAGTGGATATAGGAAGGGGACGGAGAGAAGAGAAGGAAAAGGAAAGGGGAGATTCATCTCTGTCTCCTAAGACCCCCCACAGCAACAATGGGGATGAGATTGGGGGCCTGTATTTATATCACTTATTGTAATTACTTCAAACCAATGTCTGCTGTTTATTTTGTGTTTAGAGTAGAAAAGATCATGTTGTTAGGGGTTCTTCTATGTTCAGTTATAACTTTCTTTCTTTTTGAGTTTCTTTGTTCTTCTGCACATATTTTTATTTTTTGAAAGGTTAGATGTTTTCTGTTTATATTGTTTATTTGCTTGTAGTAATCTACTTGTATATTTGTTGTTTCTATGCCTATGCCTACATTTTCTGTTCTTGAGTTGTGTAAGGTTTCAATTGTTATCACTGTTTTAGAAATTTCTAGTTTATTTGATGTGTTATTTTTGCATATCTCCTGTGCTGTTTTGTGAATATATGTGTCAGTGCATGTTTTTCATTCTAATAAAAGTAATAAACTTCATTGTTAGAGTCTTTTTTATGTGAGGCTGAAACCACTGTAATTTTTAAGTTTTACACAGCCATCCAACCCTGCAGTCATTGTTCCTTGTTTCAATTATTCTGTGTATTATGAGTTAATCTTTTGTTGTTTTCCATTTCTATTATTCCAGCCATTCCTGAGAATCAACTAATATTGCCCTATGTACAATACCTTCCTGATTCGGGCCATAATTTTGGAACTGGGAAAATATAATAATGAATACTGTATGTGTATACTATATTGGGTAATTTACCTTGTAAAATAATACTCAAATACCTTTTTCCTTTCTTATTTAGTTATTTTTTGTTTTACGCAGTCATCCAACTTTGCAATTATTATTCCATATTTCAATTATTCACACTGAATGTGTGTGAATCTCTCATTATTTTCCGTTGCAAGAAAAACAAATAAAATAAAAAATAATACTGGTAATTGTTTATAAAGTGCACAAGCATTGGTACATGAACCTAAAACCTTCCTAACCTTCAGGCTTCGCCCCCAGACCCTCGCCGGATTTCTGTATTTACTTATCATGGGCTCTGCCCCTGGACCCCACCCAATTGCCATAGACATAGACATGGGTGGCATTAGATGCAACCTGTTTTCTTCATTTCTGACATTATTTGCTTTAGCATATTATTTCATATATCAGAGTGTTTTTCCTTGCTGTTATACATGCATCTTAATATATTCCTGTACATGTATAACATAGTAATATTTGTTGCATAACTTTATTACCAACTTGTGAAGGAAATACCATATATGAAGTGTCTTACTTTCAGTTCTATCCTTGCAGGCAAAGCTTATCTTGTATCATATTGCTGTGAAAACTAAAAACTGTAACTTTTGTGGTATTTGTTACCGAGTGACTGCCTCCAGAGACAGTCCTAAAACCAGGGTATCATGGAACCCAAAATCCAAACTTAACCATTCCTTATATTTATTCCCTAAACAGGGGGCAACCCACCCTATGCCCCCTTTATTAACATTGTTACAGAAAAGAGATATTAGGAACTCTGGCTGTGATTTCTCAGTTATATGAGGCCGCTGTAGATGTTTCTGTGTTGCTTCCTCCTCTATTTTCTATGCTCTATACAATGAGTGTCCATTTCCCTCTATCTGTGTGTATCGCTCTCAGTAACATGAACCAATTTCACATTTATGTTCTTATTGTAGCAGTGATGTTTTAAGTTTTTAAATTTCACACAGCCATCCAATCTTCCAATCATTCACTACATTATAACCAGCATGAATCTCATATTATCCATCGCAAATGATATAAAAAAACATTGTTGAAAATACCGTTTACCTTGCCCCTCAGAGACTGTCTATCACTGGGGTATCCGCAGGCACTGCCAGACGCCCCAGAACCTCGCTCAGCGCAGGTTCTGTCCCGCCCAGCACAATTCATGACCTATTTTTTCTGTTACTAATTGCCTTAGCAGATTAGTTCAGGCATCAGTTAGTATAGTTTTCCCATATGGTAGTGACAGTGTCATTAGATTTTCCTGTAAATACATACCAAGAGGATTACAAGTTGCGTAACTCTCTTATCATCAACCTGGGAAGAAACACCATAGATGAA